AGAAAGTTTAAAAAGAGACGACATTTCAAAGTATCTACACACACACACACACACACACACACACACACACACACACACACACACACACACACACACACACACACACACACACACACACACACACGTACCTTAATCAGCACCACATCCACAGTGGCCTCTCCTTTAGCACAGAAGCTGTACCTCCTTCTGTGTCTGTCGTACATGCTGTTAACACACACTCTGCTCCGTCACTAAATCAAACACCAGCTCAGGGTGGAGCTCCCAGCACCAAAAAAAAAAAACATCCGAGCACGAGCAGCAGTTTCCAGAGCTGCAGGATCATCTGAAACTAAACATTTCTGTCCCTCTAATTATCTGAGGAGGAGTGAGAGAGATGGGCCAGAACGACACGCAGCTCACTTTAACCCCGTCTTTACTGATCACGGCAGAAAGATGAAGGAAAAGTTTCAATCCGTCTGTCATGTCCTCAGTCACAGGTCGCTATCTGCTGCTCCTTCTTGTTGGAAAATGAGCCTCTCTGCCCACATCTGTTCACAACAGCAGCCCCTCCCTCCCTCTCCCTCTCTCTCTCTCTCTCTCTCTCTCACCCCACCCTCCCATCTGTCCCTCCATGTGCTGCCTCTCTGCTGCCCCCTCAGCAGAAATATGGAGCTCTGCACACACACACACACACACACACACACACACACACACACACACACACACACACACACACACACACACCACACACACACACACACACACACACCACACACCACACACACACACACACACAGAGTTCTGCTGTGTTTCTGTGAAAAGAGAATAAACAGTTGTAAACGGTTGTACATGCATAAGGACAATGTCGTCTTTTTAACACTGCACTGTTATACCACTGTGCACTGTAAGACCACTGTGCACTGTTATACCAGTGTGCACTGTAAGACCACTGTGCACTGTTATACCAGTGTGCACTGTAAGACCACTGTGCACTGTTATACCAGTGTGCACTGTTATACCACTGTGCACTGTTATACCAGTGTGCACTGTTAGACCACTGTGCACTGTTATACCAGTGTGCACTGTTATACCACTATGCACTGTTACAGCACTGTGCACTGTTAGACCACTGTGCACTGTTACAGCACTGTGAACTGTTATACCACTGTGCACTGTTATACCACTGTGCACTGTTATACCACTATGCACTGTTAGACCACTGTGCACTGTTACAGCACTGTGCACTGTTATACTACTGTGCACTGTTATACCACTATGCACTGTTAGACCACTGTGCACTGTTAGACCACTGTGCACTGTTATACCACTATGCACTGTTACAGCACTGTGCACTGTTAGACCACTGTGCACTGTTACAGCACTGTGCACTGTTATACCACTGTGCACTGTTATACCAGTGTGCACTGTTATACCACTGTGCACTGTTACAGCACTGTGCACTGTTACAGCCCTGTGCACTGTAAGACCACTGTGCACTGTTATACCAGTGTGCACTGTAAGACCACTGTGCACTGTTATACCAGTGTGCACTGTAAGACCACTGTGCACTGTTATACCAGTGTGCACTGTTATACCACTGTGCACTGTTATACCAGTGTGCACTGTTAGACCACTGTGCACTGTTATACCAGTGTGCACTGTTATACCACTATGCACTGTTACAGCACTGTGCACTGTTAGACCACTGTGCACTGTTACAGCACTGTGAACTGTTATACCACTGTGCACTGTTATACCACTGTGCACTGTTATACCACTATGCACTGTTAGACCACTGTGCACTGTTACAGCACTGTGCACTGTTATACTACTGTGCACTGTTATACCACTATGCACTGTTAGACCACTGTGCACTGTTAGACCACTGTGCACTGTTATACCACTATGCACTGTTACAGCACTGTGCACTGTTAGACCACTGTGCACTGTTACAGCACTGTGCACTGTTATACCACTGTGCACTGTTATACCAGTGTGCACTGTTATACCACTGTGCACTGTTACAGCACTGTGCACTGTTACAGCCCTGTGCACTGTAAGACCACTGTGCACTGTTATACCAGTGTGCACTGTAAGACCACTGTGCACTGTTATACCAGTGTGCACTGTAAGACCACTGTGCACTGTTATACCAGTGTGCACTGTTATACCACTGTGCACTGTTATACCAGTGTGCACTGTTAGACCACTGTGCACTGTTATACCAGTGTGCACTGTTATACCACTATGCACTGTTACAGCACTGTGCACTGTTAGACCACTGTGCACTGTTACAGCACTGTGAACTGTTATACCACTGTGCACTGTTATACCACTGTGCACTGTTATACCACTATGCACTGTTAGACCACTGTGCACTGTTACAGCACTGTGCACTGTTATACTACTGTGCACTGTTATACCACTATGCACTGTTAGACCACTGTGCACTGTTAGACCACTGTGCACTGTTATACCACTATACACTGTTACAGCACTGTGTACTGTTACAGCCCTGTGCACTGTAAGACCACTGTGCACTGTTATACCACTATGCACTGTTACAGCACTGTGCACTGTTAGACCACTGTGCACTGTTACAGCACTGTGCACTGTTATACCACTGTGCACTGTTATACCAGTGTGCACTGTTATACCACTGTGCACTGTTACAGCACTGTGCACTGTTACAGCCTGTGCACTGTAAGACCACTGTGCACTGTTATACCACTGTGCACTGTTACAGCACTGTGAACTGTTATACCACTGTGCACTGTTATAGCACTGTGCACTGTTACAGCCCTGTGCACTGTAAGATCACTGTGCACTGTTATACCACTGTGCACTGTTACAGCCCTGTGCACTGTAAGATCACTGTGCACTGTTATACCACTGTGCACTGTTACAGCCCTGTGCACTGTAAGACCACTATGCACTGTTAGACCACTGTGCACTGTTACAGCCCTGTGCACTGTTATACCACTGTGCACTGTTATACCACTGTGCACTGTAAGACCACTGTGCACTGTTATACCACTGTGCACTGTTATACCACTGTGCACTGTTACAGTCATGTGCACTGTAAGACCACTGTGCACTGTTATACCACTATGCACTGTAAGACCACTGTGCACTGTTAGACCACTGTGCACTGTTATACCACTATGCACTGTTATACCACTGTGCACTGTTATAGCACTGTGCACTGTTATAGCACTGTGCACTGTTAGACCACTGTGCACTGTTATACCACTGTGCACTGTAAGACCACTGTGCACTGTTAGACCATTGTGCACTGTTATACCACTATGCACTGTTACAGCCCTGTGCACTGTAAGACCACTGTACACTGTTAGTCCACTGTGCACTGTTATAGCACTGTGCACTGTTACAGCCCTGTGCACTGTAAGACCACTGTGCACTGTTATAGCACTGTGCACTGTTATAGCACTGTGCACTTTTATAGCACTGTGCACTGTTCTACCACTCTGCACTGTTATACCACTATGCACTGTTACAGCCTTGTGCACTGTAAGACCACTGTGCACTGTTATACCACTGTGTACTGTTCCAGCACTGTGCACTGTTATACCACTCTGCACTGTTACAGCCCTGTGCACTGTAAGACCACTGTGCACTGTTATACTACTGTGCACTGTTATACCACTATGCACTGTAAGACCACTGTGCACTGTTAGACCACTGTGCACTGTAAGACCACTGTGCACTGTTAGTCCACTGTGCACTGTTATACCACTGTGCACTGTAAGACCACTATGCACTGTAAGACCACTATGCACTGTTAGTCCACTGTGCACTGTTATACCACTGTGCACTGTAAGACCACTGTGCACTGGTAGACCACTGTGCACTGTTATACCACTTTGCACTGTAAGACCACTGTGCACTGTTAGTTCACTGTGCACTGTTATACCACTGTGCACTGTAAGACCACTGTGCACTGTTAGACCACTGTGCACTGTTATACCACTTTGCACTGTAAGACCACTGTGCACTGTTAGTCCACTATGCACTGTAAGACCACTGTGCACTGTTAGTCCACTGTGCACTGTAAGACCACTGTGCACTGTTAGTCCACTATGCACTGTAAGACCACTGTGCACTGTTATACCACTGTGGACATTCTTACATTTACAGCAGATGTTTCATACAGAAATAGAACCCCAGGACTAAAGCAGTTTTAAAATTGTCTTAGTGTTACTCAGACTTGTGGAGAAAAGGGCCCTGACTGTCTCTCTGTGGAGTTGAAGTATCTCCTGTCTCATTGAAACACTGTGTTAGTGATTCACTCTTTGTCCTACTCGGTCAGTCAGGGTGTAAAACTGTCCTCTACTGACTGGATCACATTCATCTGTAACCAATCAGGAGCACACACACAGCAGTTACCATGGTAACAGCAGTCGTACACCATCCAGCTGTAATGCAGAGAGAGACAGAGTGTGAAAACATCTGGAAGGAGTTATACCTGCAGTGACCAGCAGGGGGCAGCAGATGGCAGTCTGTTAAATACAACAGCAGGTCCTTCTCCTTTAATGTGAGTTAAAGGATTATCAGTGAGATGTGTAGAGAGTGAAATGATACAGGTATCTTACTATCTGATCAGACATTAAGGAAACATGTTGAAGTGCTGGCTTCTCTGACAAAAATGCAGCAGCCAGTATGTCCTCCTTCTAACTTTAGATTCTGCTCCTGAATGCTCTGGATTTGTTTGGACCAGAGAAGGTAGGCGCTTTTAAGACACCCCCCTACACGGCTGTTTTGGACGCCCCTCGGTTTGCCAGATATGAGAGCAGTTATCAGGTCAACAGGTGTTGCAGCGATGGAAGCGGGCAAGAGAAGTGGTTCAGATAGAAGTGATTGTACCCGACCTAAAAAGCCTCTGCATGTTTCTAATAAGCTCCACGAGCAGAAACGTGCTCAAACTAGGATCAATATTGGAGATATAAATGTAATGTATGTATAAATACAGACATACACAAAGTCCACAGCTGGAGTGAAGAACAAATAAAGTCTGACCCCTCTGAGCTCGCTACCCCCTGATCAACATCCAAACTACAACACAATGAAATATGTGAGCATGCTTTCTATATCAAACTGAACCGTGAAGATATGAACCAGAGTGACAGGCCTGCACACCACTCAGTGTCAGTAACACAGAGCTGTGACTTGACTTCTTGATCATGTGACTGACTTCAATGAGGTCTTTGTGTTTGGGTCACTCCCAGCATGCACTGGGGTTTCAGACTGATGGATAGAAGAGTCATTATTTGAAACTGTGTTTCCTCACTGTGATCTCTGCTCAACGTTATACACTGTGTGTGTGTGTGTGTGTGTGTGTGTGAAACAACTTGTGGCTGTGACATCACTTCCTGTGTGTTTACGTCTCTGACATCATGGAGATGGACTCAAACAGGACCTGCTGGTTCAGGTCTGAAGGTTCCCATGCCTCCTCCTGTGACCTGCTGCTCCTTCAGACCCACCACTGCGTCACCACAGAGATCAGAGCAGGATTTATATGGATCCACAGGAGACCCTGACCCGGTCTGACCCGTGTGCCTGAAAGTCAGGCTGGTTGTGGTGTGTGTGTGTGTGTGTGAATGGAGACTAGAACAGGTTCTGTTTCCTCAGCAGGAGTTTGTTTAAAGAGACGAGTCAGCATCATGTGAGAACAGCTGATCACAGAGAGGACTCCTGAGCATGTAGAGATGTGTGTGTGTAGAGCTCTGGTCCAGGTGGTTTTAGACTCACCTGCTGGATGTGTGTGCTGTCCTTCTCCTGGCTGCTCGGCTCACAGCTTTCTGTTTCTGTAGAGGACAAACAACACCTTTGAGCCTTTTTTGAGCCCGTTGTTATGTGTCTGTGTGTGTGTGTGTGTGTGTGTGTGTGTGTGTGTGTGTGTGTGTGTGTGTGTGTGTGTGTGTGTGTGTGTGTGTGTGTCAGTGTGTGTGTGTGTGTGTGTGTCAGTGTGTGTGTCAGTGTGTGTGTGTGTGTGTGTGTGTGTGTGTGTGTCAGTGTGTGTATGTGTGTGTGTGTGTATGTGTGTGTGTGTGTATGTCAGTGTGTGTCAGTGTGTGTGTGTGTCAGTGTGTGTGTGTGTGTGTGTGTGTGTGTGTGTGTGTGTCTGTGTGTGTGTGTGTGTATGTCAGTGTGTGTCAGTGTGTGTGTGTGTGTGTGTGTGTGTGTGTATGTCAGTGTGTGTCAGTGTGTGTGTGTGTGTGTGTGTGTGTGGTGTGTGTGTGTGTGTGTGTGTGTGTGTGTCAGTGTGTGTATGTGTGTGTGTGTGTGTATGTCAGTGTGTGTCAGTGTGTGTGTGTGTGTGTGTGTGTGTGTGTGTGTGTGTGTGTGTGTGTATGTGTGTGTGTGTGTATGTCAGTGTGTGTCAGTGTGTGTGTGTGTGTGTGTGTGTGTGTGTGTGTGTGTGTGTGTCAGTGTGTGTGTGTGTGTGTGTGTGTATGTCAGTGTGTGTGTGTGTGTGTGTGTGTGTGTGTGTAGCATGAGATGAGTCAGTGGACTCTCTGGTTTACATAATGAGGGGGTGAGATGGAAAGCTGCTCCCTGATCCTGCAGACCAGAAAGTTCTGGAAAAATGAATCCATGAAGAGCTGACAGGAAGTGACCACTTTCAGATGATGTTGAATCCATTTCATTCATATTATTTATTTATTATTTAGAAGCACTTCATTCTAACAGCTTTCTTTCAAATTCTTTAAGTCTGTGATGTGATTCATCTCTCCTCCTGTCACCAGCAGCCACAGAACAGCTGACCTCTCTGTATTTACATCTGTACATATAAATAAATATATATATCTGAATTTATATATAAATAAATAAATATATATATCTGAATTTATATATAAATAAATATATATATCTGAATTTATATATAAATAAATAAATATATATATCTTTATTTATATATAAATATATACTGTATATACTGTATACAGTATATATAGTATATACACACAGACACACACACACACACACACACACACAGACACACACACAAAGTCTCACACACACATACATATTTCTCATACATCCTCTAGTTTAACTGTCGACTGTTAAGTCTCGATGACATCATCACGTTGCCTGGATACAGAGACCAAGACAAACAGTGAAGCCAGATCAACAAATGTTTCTCTCACACACACACACACACACACACACACACACACACACACAGAAACACACACACACAGCAGAGGACATAGTGACGTCTGCCATCGGGTGATGGCGGTCGCCATGTTGGAAATGTTGACAATTACTTTAGACCAGGGGTGTCAGAGTTCTATTGGGTCGGGGCCGGATTTGTTCAAATGAGACCTCAAGTGGGCCGGACTAATTTTGCCAACATCACTATAACTCTGTCATTGCAAACTGCATGTTGGCACATGGAAATATTTAAATGTACCACATTACAGAAGAAAACATCAATAATTATGTTTTGTTTGAGATTATTATGTTATGTTTTAATATTGCTGTTCAAGGTTATAGAAACTTTGACAGGTTATTCTACCTGCCCTGCGATCAGTGCATTAGAGAGAGAGAGAGAGAGAGAGAGAGAGACACTTTAGATCTGTGTGTCAGGCCACAGCACAGTTTGCACAAAGTGCCCCGTTTAATTAATATTCATATCATGATATCAACCTTTACATTGCTCATTATAAGTTTTAATACAATTCGGGGAAATTACAAATATTTAATTTATATAAAATCTAAAAAAATTGTTAAATACATTTCCTCCTTCTTCCCAAAACGTCTCGCGGGCCAGATTAAACTTGCTGTTGGACCGGATATGGCCCACGGGCCGTATGTCTGACATTCCTGCTTTATATCAATGTAGAAACAGAGGCGGAGCTTGTTGACTCCATGGTCAACACTTTTTTATTTTTTATATTCAGGTCTAATTACAGATTTTTTTCCTCAACTACTCCTGCTACTGGATGCTTTGAATTTCCCTCGGCATCAATAAACTATCTATCATCTATCATCTATCATCTATCCATCCATCTATCATCTATCATCTATCCATCCATCCATCCACCATCTATCCATCCATCCATCTATCATCTATCCATCCATCTATCATCTATCATCTATCATCTATCCATCATCTATCCATCCATCCATCCACCATCTATCATCTATCCATCCATCCATCCATCATCTATCATCTATCCATCCATCCATCCACCATCTATCCATCCATCCATCCATCCATCCATCCATCATCTATCATCTATCCATCCATCTATCATCTATCATCTATCCATCCATCATCTATCATCTATCCATCCATCTATCATCTATCATCTATCCATCCATCCATCCATCCATCCATCCATCATCATCCATCCATCCACCATCATCTATCCATCCATCCATCCATCCATCATCTATCCATCCATCCATCCACCCATCATCCAACCATCCATCCATCCATCATCTATCCATCATCCATCCATCCATCATCCATCTATCCATCATCCATCCATCCATCATCCATCCATCCATCATCCATCCATCCATCATCTATCCATCATCCATCCATCTATCAATCCATCCATCCATCCATCATCCATCCATCCATCCATCATCCATCTATCCATCCATCCATCCATCCATCCATCATCATCTATCCATCCATCCATCCATCCATCCATCCATCATCCATCTATCCATTCATCTATCCATCCATCCATCCATCATCCATCCATCATCCATCCATCCATCCATCCATCCATATTTCCTTCCATCCATCCATCATCCATCCATCATCATCCATCATCCATCTATCCATCCATCTGTCATCCATCCATCATCCATCTATCCATCCATCTGTCATCCATCCATCATCCATCTATCCATCCATCTGTCATCCATCCATCATCCATCTATCCATCCATCTGTCGGGTAGGCCTCCTTTGACCACCATTGGAGGTCAAAGGAGGAGCTTTTCGTTTGCTTTTTGCATCACTGATGTCACTTTTCTCAACATTCAGTCAGACACAACATCAACAGAACTTCTCCCTGTGTGTGAGAGGACAGACTTAGTTATTCACCTGTCTCTGATGTGTCCTCCTCTGTCACCTCGTCTCTCCTCGCTTCCTCTCCTCTCTCCTTCTTTGCCCTCTCTCTCTCCTTCCATCCGTCCACTGTGTCCATATCTGCGTTGGCGTCCCGATCTTCACCGTCCCCGCCCACAGGAGCCCGCGTCAAGTCTGACAGAGACCGGGACAACTGCTGCTCGCTCAGATCCACGTCCACAGGGGGTTCCTCATGATGAGGATCAGCTTCAGGTGCAGAGTCACAGGGGGGGTCAGAGGGACCCTGAACCTGTTCATCCAGCTGAGGAGCCTCGCTCTCTCTAACCTGGGACACATCTCTCCTCTCACCTTCCTGTACCTGCAGACCTGTCTCACCTCCTGCCTCGCTCAGACAGACAGGCTGCTCTCTGCTGCCCTCTGGATGTTGTTCTGTGTCTCTAACAGGAGAGAGGAGCTCGCTCTCCGTCTGAGTGTCGACCTCGTCTGTGACCTCATCTGTGACCTTGTGTGTGACCTTGTGTGTGACCTCGTGTGTGACCTCATCTGTGACCTCGTCTGTGACCTCTTCTGTGACCTCGGCAGTGACCTTGTCCGTGACCTCGTCCGTGACCTCTTCCGTGACCTCGGCTGTGACCTCCTCTGTGACCTCATCTGTGACCTTGTCTGTGACTTTGTGTGTGACCTCGGCTGTGACCTCGTCTGTGACCTCGTCTGTGACCTCGTCTGTGACCTCTTCTGTGACCTCATCTGTGACTTTGTGTGTGACCTCGTCTGTGACCTCGGCTGTGACCTCGTCTGTAACTCGTCTTGAAGGTTTCAGGTCTGCCTTCAGCATGCTGTCTGCTCCTTCAGGTCGGGTTTGATTTCCTTCTGTGACAAGCTGTGTGAAGGCAGACGTGTCTACAGCCTGCTGGTTGCTATGGAGATGTTCTGCTAGCTGCTCTTCAGTGTCACATGCTAACTGCTCCTCGTTAGCTTGCTCTTTCAGCGTGTTTCCCGCCTCAGCTGTGCTCGATGCTAACACGTGTCTGTGCTCGTTGCTAGTCAGCTGCAGGGACCGGTCAGCATCAGTTAGTACCTCCTGCTCTGATCTTTCTGTTCCTGCAGACTCCTCCCCCTCTGACTCATTGTTAGCTAACTGTCGGCTCAGTTCTATGCTAGCCAAGGCTGATGCTACCGCTACCGCTATGACCGCTACAGCTGCTGCAGCGAGCTCCTCCTCATTGTGTTTGTGCTCTGTGTCTCTGTCTGAAGACGATTTCTCCTCCCCATGTACCATCCTGATGTCACCCTCCTCACTCCTTCTCCTCCTCTCCTTACCCACTCCCTCCTCACCCACACACATCTCCTGCTGCTGATCTCTCATCGTCTCCGAGGTCAAACAATGCCCTGAGTGTTCCCTCGGAGCCGTCTCAGCGCTTCCTTCCCCTGTTAGAAGCAGTGACACATCCGCTGTACCTTCACACGGTGGACCCCCTGTCCCTGCAGGATGCTCTGAGTCCATAAATCCTGGAAGCCCTGCCCCTTGGTCCACAGGTTGACCCACTCTGTCTGAGTCCAGAGGCGGGACGCGTTGTGTTTTGAGTTCAGGAAATTCCACCTCAGATGAGTCGTCTGTGGATGGAGGAGCGTCTGTAAACAGAGACGCCTGGACTGACAAGTCCTCCTCCGTCTGAAGGTCCAGATCCACATGTCCCCTTGATTCCTCTCCGTCAGCTGTGTTTCCCTCTCCGTCTGTCATAGTGATGTCAGGACGTTCTGCAGCAGCGTCACAAGAAGAAGTGGAGTGATCAGGTTCACAGTCCACATCCTGTGTGTCCCCCGTGTGTACAGGGGTTCCTCTAGTCTGATCCGTCCCCCTCTCGTCTGTCACAGCGACCTCTGGAGAAGACACACTGCTGCGGCCCTCCGTCTGACCGGGCAGCGTCATGGCGTCCTGCTCAGCTTCCTCTCTCGTGGTGGCCTCAGGGACAGTTCCTGTCTGATCCTCCTGCTCTGGGTTCAGGTCTGCCTCTGGCCCTCTGTGAGACTCGATGCTGGAGCCGGAGCTCCCTCTCCTCCCTCTCTTCTTCCTCCTCTTCCTCCTGCTCTTCGGCTCTCTCTCCTCGTTGTTGTTGTCAGCCGTTTCTGAGCTCTTTCTGCTCTCGCTCGCCCCTCTCTCTCTCCTGCACTCGGGCCCTGCTTCCTCCTCTCTCTGTGGTGCGTGTACTTCCTGTCTTTGTGCGGCGCTGGGCCCATGTGACGGAGCTGGCTGAGGTCCAGCAGCATGTGGCTGAGCTGCAGACGGACTCTCAGCTTCCTGCTCTCTCTGCTTCGGCTCTTCTTGTCCACTCGTGTCCATCGTGTCTCCGTCATACCAAACAGACTGAGAGTTCACACCTCCTTCACCGCCCTGCTGCAGGTCACCCCCCTCCCCCTCATACCACAGCGTCTTTGTTTCTGATCCCATCCTGCTGCTCATCCAGCCTCCATCCCTCCAAAGAACTCTTCGGGGTTTCCTCTCCACCTCGGGGGACTTGGGGCTCGGACTGGTCTTCTTGTCAGGTGGACTTGGCCCCTCTGGGTCTGATTGGCTCTCCTGAGGACCCTGTGACTGTTCCTGACCCATGGTTTCTGAAGGAGACAGGATCAGAGTCAGGATTAAACTGGATGTTCTTCAGAGGGTAAGATAGATCTATATGAACTGATGCAATACTTATACACACTGAGTGATTCATATTAGCAGTGTATGACAACATGGTAGCAATGATGATGTCACAGAGATTTATGAACCCCCCTGCAGTCCCCCCTCAAAGGTCTGATGAACCACTCAGACAGCATGCAGGAGTTTTTTAAAACTTACTGTCATTAGAAACTATCCTGAAAAGAACGTCTCTGCACACTACTCTCGCAAGATATCACCAATTTATTTAATTGTTTTTCTTTAAACATAACGTCATAAGTGTCAGATAGTGTTCAAAGGTTGAGAGGGACGGAAACATCGTGTTTTGTTCCTGATAAAATGATGATGAGGAGGACGAGTAGTGATTGATTTCCTACACAGATACTTCATGAGAAAGATGTGCAAACTCCTCCTTTAAAACATCGCCATTAGAAACAAGAAATGACCCGATAATTGGTGATTGGGACTACGTTTGTTGTTGCCATGGTAACAAACATGTTTTAAACATGGTTCCATTTTTACTAGATTCATCATGAGCGATCATTCTGCTGTGGGTGTGCAGGGTGGAGGGAATCAGCTTCTGTGTGCTTCACTTCTAACAACACGTTTCAAAAGTGTCACATGGTCAAATCGTTGTTGTTTACGTTAATTTATCGTAGTCTTCACTGACAGTATGACCGCGTCCTAACAGCACGGGAGCGCTGGATATCCCGATGTCCACACTGCATCCGTTAAATACTGAATCCTCTGCTCTGTGATTTTCCCTTTTAAACATTATAACATGTGGT